TGAGGGACGGCGTAAGGCCGTGTGTGTGTGAGAGAGGCGTCCTGACACGGCCTTGTGACCCCATGTCTGCGTGTGACACCCAGCGTGTGTGTGTGTGGCGCTCAGACACAGCCAGTGACACCGAGCGTGCGAGACGCGCTCGGAGGGAGAGGGTGGAAAGCTCTGCGTGTGTGTGTGAGAGACGTGCTCAGACACAGACGCTGTCAGGCATGTGTGTGTGACACGGACAGAATCACAGAATATGCGGAGCTGGAAGGGACCCACAGGGATCACAGCGTCCAGCTCCTGGCCCTGCGCAGGACCATCCCCAGCAGTCACACCATGTGGCCCAGAGTATCCTCCAAACACTCCTCCAGCTCTGGCAGCCTTGGGGCTGTGACCGCTGCCCTGGGGAGCCTGTTCAGTGCCCAACAACCCTCTGGGGGAAGAACCTTAGTTTCTAAGATCCAATCTAAACCTCCCCTGACAACATCAGGCCGTTTCCTGGGGGCTTGTCCCTGGTCCCCACAGAGAAGAGATCAGAACTTGCCTCTCTTCTTACCCTCGCAAAGAAGTTGTAGCTTCAGTGAGGTATCTCCTCAGTCTCCTCCAGGCTGAACAGACCAAGTACCCTCAGCTGTTCATTCCTCTCATGGCTTCCCCTCAAGGCTCTTCGCCATCTTCGCTGCCCTCCTTTGGACACTCTCTAAGACCTTAATATCTTTCTTATACTGCTGTAACGCTGCGTGTGTGTGACATTCTCAGACACAGCATGTAACCCTGTATGTGTGTGTGACGACCAGAGACACAGTGTGAAACCATGGCCGCATGTGTGACTCTCAGACACAGACTGTAAACTCTGCGTGTATGTGACACACACGGACACAACCTGTGGCCCTGTCTGTGTGTATGACACCCTCAGACACAGCCTGCAGCCCCGTGTGTGTCTGACACTACCAGTCACTGCCTGTAACTGTCCATGAGTGTGTGACACCCTCAGGCACAGCCTGTGACCCCGTATGTGTGTGATACACCCTCACACATAGCCTGCAGCCATGTCTTGTGTGAGATCCCAGCTCAATACCCCGACAGCTTGGCAGGGAGAGGTGGTCAGGTTTGACCTCTGCTCGTTGGTGTGACACCCCTTTTCCTTCAGCCAGGCATTTCTCGGTTGTGTAGGAGTGTGTGTGAGACAGACAGACCCCGAACACAGCCTGTGGCTCCATGATTGGCAGGCACCTTGAACTACAACCTGTGTGGGTGAGACCCCTAAATCCCACCCTGCTGCCTCATGGACATGATGATGGCCACCAGCACAGTCTGTAGCCCTCTGTGTGGGTGATACACCGTGACACCCCGAAGCACAGCCTGAGGCCCAGAGTGTGTGAGACACCCCAAAGCACAACCTGCGGCCTCACAGATGGACAAGGCCCCTTGAAACACACCCTGCAGCTCAGTGTGTGATGGGCACCCCCAAAACACAAACCACAGCATGGTGTGTTTATGACTCCTGAAGCAACCCTCTGAGTGCGGCCAACAGCCCCAAGACATGAACTGTGTCGCCATGTGGGTGACAGATGCTCCCCATCTTGCACCCTTGTGTGTGAGAGAGCACACATCGTGCAGCCCTGTGGGAGATTGTTGTCTGTGTGTGAGACACCCCCAGCACTCATCCTGCTGCTTTGTGGGGGTGTCACACCCTGTGACTGCCAGAGTTCAACAGGGATCTCTCCTATGTGCACCCCTACCCC